CGCCCTGTGATTTTTCCATTGCTTTCTGCATCACTGTGTGGCCGGAAGAGGCCTGTCTCAGGAGAAAACAGTCCAGGCAACCCAGGAACTGAAACCCCAAGGCCCTTCACTGTCCTCCACAGCCTGCACCTAGCCTCTGGGCTCCTCTCTCTGCTTTCCACCCTTGCCATCAACTCACCAGCAATCTGCTTCATGAACGTCATGCACACACCGTCAGCTCCCAGAACTGCACTCTTCACTAGTTCCCGCACCAACCACACCAACTAAAAGGGAGAGGAGAAGACGGATGAAGAGAAGGGCCTGCAAATTTGAGGAAAGGGTGAATCCAACCACGTTACGGTTTAGGTGTACGAAGGCAAGGCATGTTATCTCTGATTCCTCTGTCCCTTCTCTTTAAGAGGGGATCCAAACTCTAGCATGTCTTTGAGCTGGATATCTCTTTCCTTCCCGGCCTTACCTGAGTACGGCAGGTATCCTGCAGCTTCAGGTACTTCTCCATAAGTATCTGGTTGATCTTGTTCAGGACAATATTCATGCCGTCGCGACTCACCAGAGCCAAGTCCCGGTAACACTGTGAGAAGCAAGGTCGTGAGCAGCCGGTAGGCTGAGGACAGGCTCCCCCCGCCATGGGATTCAAGTGGCCCTGTGGATGCTGCCCTTCCACAGGGCTCCTCCACCCCAACCCCACCCTGGCCCTGTCACACACGGTGGGAAAAGGAATGCAACTACTCTCCGAGAAGGCAGAAAAGCCTCCTAGGAAAGGCTCCTTGACCCCCCATGTCTCTTCTTAGAAACTGTCACCCTGTTTCATGCCACAAGCTGAGCAAAACCAGGTGGAGGCCGTCTGCTTTTCATCTGCCAGTGAAAGGTCACTGCAGGATGGGTTTGGTTGAACAGACCAGAAAGGACCTCAAAGAGGTTTTTAGACCTGTATTGACTCAGCCAGATGAAGCAAAGGGCTAGGAGCATTAGGGTAAAGGATCCAGGGACCAAGGCCCCAGAAAGAAAGGGCAGGACCAAACTGAACTTCTTTAATTAAACATCATTCTTCTTTTCTCTGGACTGCCCTTTGCTCTGCCAAGACTGAAAAAGGAGGGGTCCTTAGGTGCACCCAGCCCTGGGAGAGGTGAAGCAGAACACCAATCTTTGAATGCTCCTGCTCCCCTTCCTGAGAGCGTTCTCACCTCTCTCTAGAGAGAGCAGACTCCCAGAGGAAGGCCTCAAGAGGCCTCACTACCCACTGAGCTCCAGGCTGTCAGGGTCTCAGCACAAAGGGCACCTTGGAAACATACCTCCTACCTCGGAAAGCCAGTGGCATCAACAACGATAGCAAATATGCTAAGCTAACATGCACTGACACTGTGCTCCATATTACACATATGGTTGCATTTGAATCCCGTAACAACCCTCTGAAATAGGTGCTACCAGCTCTGTTCTTACAGATGAAGAAAGAAACAGGTACAAGGGAGTAAAGTAACTTGCCCCAGGTCACTGAAGAGACAGAAGAAGAGCCAGAATCCAAGTCCAGGCAGTCCCGTTCTAGATTCCATGCTTGTCACACCTCTCTGCCAGTGCTAGAAATAGCTGCGAGAAGAGGCTACTGGGGAGGGAGGTGAGGACCTAAGGTGGCTGTGAGACAACCACATCCCTAAGCTCTTTCACCCTCAGTGTCCGGAAGGGAAGTGCTCCTCCTGCGCTCCGGCCTTGATATAGGAGGGACTCCTGAGCCCTTAGCTACTGTTACTTCCTCCGGCCTCTACGGCCCATAAGTCAAACGACTGATCTGATAAAAACACCAACGCTTCAAGATCCCTCCTGTGCCACAACTTTTCATACCCTTTTCATTCCCAAAGGAGAATTTAATTATCCTCTGACTCCATCTGAGATCAAAAAGTACATGGGGCGCCTGGGTGGCGCAGTCGGTTAAGCGTCCGACTTCAGCCAGGTCACGATCTCGCGGTCCGTGAGTTCGAGCCCCGCGTCAGGCTCTGGGCTGATGGCTCAGAGCCTGGAGCCTGTTTCCGATTCTGTGTCTCCCTCTCTCTCTGCCCCTCCCCCGTTCATGCTCTGTCTCTCTCTGTCCCAAAAATAAATAAACGTTGAAAAAAAAAAAATTAAAAAAAAAAAAAGTACAAGCAAAAGGGAGGGCGCCTGGGTGGCTCAGCCAGTTAAGCGTCCGACTCTTGATTCTGGTTCAGGTCATGAGCTCATGGTTCTTGGGATGGAGCCCCATTTTGGGCTCTGCATCTCCCTCAGTCTCTGCCCCTGCCCCATGCACATGCGTGTGCATGCGCGTGCGTACTCTCTCTCAAAAATAAACGCTAACAGTAAAAAAACAAGAAGTACAAGCAAGCAAGGGAATAATTAATTAATGGATAAGGGAACCCAGTGAGCTACTGTCAATGTGGTGGTTGGTAAACGGTGCTTCTGCCCTGGAGCCTCCCTGCCCTGGAGGTGTGACTTACAGGCTGGGCACAGAGGAGGAGGGAGACAAAGGCAGAGGAAGATCCATGTCAGGACAGACAGAGACCAGAATCACCAGAGAGGAGCCTTGTCTGTTCCATAAAGAGCAGAAGCGCAGAAGAGACCCGGGACAGGGAAGGAGGACAAGTTTCTCAGGAGACACAGGGACAGATGAAGACAGAAGATCCTGTCTGCCTGATCCCGTGTGCCATGTGGGGCCTTACCAACCACACCGTTGCTAACACATGCAGCTGAGCACCAGGACACCCCTTCCGGATACTGTCAGTTGCCTCACCGACCCCTGTGCCAGTTTTCTGACTGGCTGGGAAGAGAAGTAGATGGGGAAAAAAAACCCAAAACAAAAGTCAGTGGGGACCAGAGAAGAGAAGCAGAGAGTCTCAGAAGAAAGGAAAGGTGACAGGATGGCATGGAGGCAGCACTTGTGCCCCAGACCCTCCAGGCTGGGCCCAGGCAGCCTCCAACCCACCTTCTTAACTGAGAACTACCAAGGCCTGGGTCCTTGACTCTGAGGAAGAGAAACGGCCACACCCTCCCCTATCACCTTCACCTCCTAACTGCTAGTGCCTGCCTACTCAGCCTCCTACACCCCCCAACCCCTGAGCCAGGCCTGCTCCCAGCTGTTCCGTTCAGACATCAAATAGGAAACAGATACACTCAAAAACTATAAACACAAGGGCTGCCGAAAGGGCAGATGAAAGCTAAGGTACAACTGGAACAAAACCCACCCCATACATACTCCACTCTGCACCCGAAGCCAGCCTGCTCTGTCCTTAACCGAGAGTTCTTGTTTACCTGCTCAACCCGCCCTTGCTGCGCCCACTAAGAAGTCCCAGAGGGCTGGCCCTGACGTCTGCACTGGCCTGCCACCTGCCAGCAATGACTGAGGCTCTTCATTCAGCTCCTGCCTTCCCAGAGCAGATTCCTAATGTGCTCAAGACTCAGTGTCTACTACCAACCTCTCCACCACCCCTGCCTCCGATCTCTCGGCCTGTGAAGATCCAGGAGCCAAATCTCCACCCTATCCTGAGGTTTCTGGTCCAGAGACAGAATTAACCGCAAGCAAACCCTTAGAAAACACACCCCTTCTTTTACACTGATGCCTAAAACAATGCATCAGAGTCCGTCCTCACCAGTAACTCCGACTTAAAACTTCCTCAGGACAGAAGGATTTCACAAGATAATCACCCTTTTAGGGAAGAGGACCAAAGCACCTCAGAGACATGCCGCACATTCTTCCCATACTCTGACCTGGTTCAAGGTCTCTCAATGAGTCACTACCTGCTAGCTCCTCATTTCCCTAAAACCATGTCTTCTGACCCCCCTGATTCCACCTACTCTGTCTGAAGAGCCTTGACCCAGTGGCCTGTCAGCCTAGGATGTTCCAAAGAGGGGATTTACTTGGAAACGGCTAGCATGTGAACACCATCCTGGTGCAGCTGTCAAACAGCTTGAGACCCAAGGCAGGAAGGATCTGGGCCACCCTCATGAGGCTGTCCCAGGGCAGAAAGAAGACAAAGTGCTCTAGCCCTTTGCCATGTCTAGACAGCCAAATTCATGACATAATGAGCATTTATGATGCAGAGGCCTATGGCCTTTCACTGTCAGGCTAGGCAAAGAGCTGAAAATACCATGCACACCCTGCCCCCTTCACTGAGGTTTACTCATTTACCCTAGCTGATTCCAATCCCACCTGAAACCAACAAAAAAACCCAGCAGACTGGACAAATTTGCACTGAGGTGACTGCACATGACTTTAACTGTATTTATAAAAGCCCACATAAGAGAAAACAAAACCTTAACCCCAACCGCTTCACCCCCATCTCTGCAAACAATTTCTTTAAAATAGAGCAGCTAGACCAGGTCACGTTACTGTTTATAACCACTAAATTGGAGACATTCATTTGTCTTCAAGGGTCTTGATGATAAATCCAGTATGAAAAGGAAATGCCAATTTAATTCAACAAGGTTCCAGCTCAGAAGTGGCCTGGGACGCCAAGGACCTGTGAGTACACACTGTTCTTCCACGTTACGCACACCCTGGATGTGACTCCAGGTGGCATCGGTGGAGTACGAACACATCAGGTTGCCGTGCTCACGTCTTTCCCCTGAGGTTAATTCAAGCCGCTACGCCAGAGGGCTGTGGGCACCCTGTCCTTGTCCCTGATGAGGATATTCTTTGGTACTCCTTGAACAAATGACAATGTCTTTGACCTCTAATTACCTTATAGGTAACCTGGGAGTGGCTTGGAAAGAAGGGACAGAGCCACCAACCTCATATGGCTTTTGAGAAGATTAAATGAGATCCTGTCTGGATAGAGCCCAACAGAGCGCCGGGCACAGAGCATGTGTTTCCCCATGTTCAAGGAAAGGCCAGTAAGAATACTGAGTGTCCCCACTCCAAGCTCCTCTTCTCTTAGTATCATAGAGTCACTGCTAGACACCAGACATATCCTTCTAAACCACGGTCCCAAGACTCAAAGGACATAGAACTGCTGCAAAGGGGAATTCTGTAGAGGCAAAAGACAGAATTTTGTCGCTTTTTTAATAATAAAAAAAAAAAAAATTGTTTTTAACATTTATTCACTTTTCAGAGTGAGAGAGACAGAGCGCGAGCAAGGGAGGGGCAGAGAGAGAGGGAGACACAGAATCCGAAGCAGGCTCCAGGCTCCGAGCTGTCAGCACAAAACCTGACACGGGGCTTGAACCCACGGACTATGAGATCATGACCTGAGCCGAAGTCGGAGGCCCAACCAACCGAGCCACCCAGGCGCCCCTCGCTACTTTTTTAAATGAAAGAATGGAATCCGAAGAGATCACCCTGCCTAATTCCTGACCCCAAAGAAGGATCCCACTTAATCCATTTCACATAAAGGAGACTCTTCTGTCTGTGAAGACCCCAGACTAGTTTTCACACAGTACTCGTAAGGAAGTCTGGCCCCAGTGGGCTCCAGGGTTCTCTTGGCCACTACACTATTGTTGCACCATTCGTCAGCATCAAGCTGTTAGATCCTACTGATGGCAGTGTTAAGCCTATTTTCTGTTCACTTTCCAGTGACAGACCCTGCAAAGTACTGGGTAAAAACTCTCAATGGACCTGACTGCATTTGCTCGCTTCTCTTCTCTGGACTAAGTCCCGACTCTCATAACCTTGACCATCACTCTACAACATACAACTCTTCAAATGCTTTTCCATTGTCACAAATGCCTTTTCTTGCCCTTTAGCTTGAAAATCAAGACATAGAGAAAGGATAGGAGTCAGAGAATGACTAATTCACTGAGAGTAAAACAGGAGCTATACGCATATCTGGAGAACAAGGTGATCCAGCTCTGGCCAACAGGACTGGCACTATGTCAGCTAACCATAAGTGCCACCATATCTCCAGATTCTACCTGAGAAGCGTCTGTGAGTTCAGAGCAGGGAGTCTTACCTTCTGAGCTTGGGCAGGTTCGGTGAGGACAAGGGTGAAGAGGCCTAGGCAGATTTCCTCATGCTGGGGGGGGCCTTTGCACACCTGGAACATGAGGAAGGAAAATAACTAGTTGTCACTCACAGGAGAAAAGTTCTTGAATACAGTTTCTCCCAGAAAACTTGGATAATCTGCAAAGGAGAATCATCAACTCTTCTACCTGATGATTTCCTTCTCCTAAAAGTGATAAAGCATGTGTTTCAGGAGAGAGGTGGAAGGAAAGGACAGACCCTTATTGCCTTCTCCAAGGCTTAATACAGGCCACATTTAAAATGGGAAAAAGGGGCACCTGGCTGGCTCAGTCAATGGAGTATACAGCTCTTGATCTTGGAATTGTGGGTTCAAGCTCCACACTGGGTGCAGAGATTACTTAAAAATAAAATCTTTCAGGGGCGCCTAGGTGGCTCAGTCAGTTGAACGTCCAACTTGGGCTCGGGTCATGGTCTCGTGGTCTGTGAGTTCGAGCCCTGCATCGGGCTCTGTGCTGACAGCTTGGAGCCTGGAGCCTGCTTCCGATTCTGTGTCTCCCTCTCTCTCTGCCCCTCTCCCACTCATGCTCTGTCTCTCTCTGTCTCAAAAATAAATATAACCATTAAAAAAAATTAAAATAAATAAATAAAAAATAAAATAAAAATTTTCAGGGTGCCTGGGTGGCTCAGTTGGCTGAGCATCCAGTTTCAGCTTAGGTCATGATTTCACGGTTCATAAGTTTGAGCCCCACGTCAGGCTCTGTGCTGACAGCTCAAAGTCTGGAGCCTGCTTTGAATCCTATGTCTCCTTCTCTCTTTGCCCCTCCCCTGCTCACATTTTCTCTCTCCCTCTCTCTCTCTCTCTCTCAAAAATAAACAAACATTAAAAAAAATTTTTTTAATAAGGTAAAATAAAAATTTTCAAAAAATAATAAATAAAATGGAAAAAAAATCCTACTGTACCACCTTTACCAGACCTTAACAGCCTTCAGTAGGAAAGGAAGAAGCTGCAAAGTCATTCATGGAGTAATAGGCCTTGGGCAGGTCACTGAACCTCTGGTATTTTTAAGGAGAAGCCATAACAAAAATATTTTGCTATAAATAAAAAGGAAATACTAAGCATTCACTATGTGCCAGGAATTACTCTAAGACCTTTACATGTACTATTTAAAATCCTTTCAATCTCACAGATTAGGAAATGTAAAGGATCAAATATGAGAGAATAATTTGCAAAGACAAAAAAGTCACTACAGAACTAGGAGTTATTTTTAAAAGCTATTTAAAGACACCTAAGTTCCAAGAGACAGATTCCCACAGTAAGACAGAGAAGAGAGAGGAGCTGGGAAGCCTGGTTCAGGGAGCTGAGACATTCAGTTCTATCCCTCATGCCCAGCCACAAAGTGCTTTATCTTCTGGATCATGTCTCACAGCTCCCGGAGCAATGGAAGTGGGGCGGGGGGCATATACTTACGTGGGCGTTGAGGGCATCGTTGGCCTCCCTCTCTGAGACACCAGCAGTCATCGATGTCACAATGCTCATACATCTTTCTAACCTCTGCGAAGGGGTGAGAAAAAGTTCAGAGTGTGTCATACCACCACCTGCAAAGTATTTCTGGCCCCAAAAAGTTTTCAAGAAACTTAAACCTCATCATACCTCTAGCTCTAACTACCAGTTTACAAGTAAAGTCACACGGGGGTATAATCAGCAAACCAGAGTGTGGAAACCATGACCAGCAATCTGGTTCTTTAACATAGAAACTGCAAGGAAAAAAAAGCAGGGAGGGAGAAACCCATGTACTAAAAGAGATTTAAGACCATAGCCCAATGAAAGGCACCTGGCTGGCTCAGTCAGCTCAGCATGTGACTCTTGATTCTCAGGGTCATGAGTTCAAGCTCCACCTTGGGTATAGAGCTTACTTAAAAAACAGGGGCGCCTGGGTGGCTCAGTCAGTTGAGCACCCAACTTCAACTCAGGTCATAATCTTGCAGTTCGTGGGTTCAAGCCCTGCATTGGGTTCTGTGCTGACACCAGGGAGCCTGCTGGGATCTTCTGTCTCCCTCTCCCTCTGCCCCTCTCCTGCTCTCTTTCTCTCTCAAAAATAAATATTAAGAAAAAATTATAGGGATGCCTGAGTGGGTCAGTCAGTGGAGGGTCCGACTCTTGATTTCAGCTTAGGTATTGATCTTGCAGTCTTAAGATGGGGCCCCACATCAGGCTCCACACAGAGCATGGAGCCTGCTTGAGATCTTTCTCCCTCCCTCCCTCCTTCTCTCTCTCTCTCCCTCCCTCCCTCTGTCCCTCACCCCTGCTTACACTCCCGCTCTCTTAAAAAAAAAAATCCTAGCCCATTGAAAAAAGTAAGAATCCACTGATATTCACATAACAACTAGACGAAAAGGGAAAGCTCTTTGACAGTGGAATGCTAGCTGATAAATGCATTAGGAATGACTGAGTCAGGCAAATATCATCAAGGGGTGCTAAAACCAGAGGTGAAATTATGCAAGACACTATTTACTTGGGTTCAAAAACACTTAATTACAAAGGGAAAAGAGTAACTACAGGAAATTCTAGAGGATATACCACCTTAACAAAGTGATCAAAGTCAACATCCCCAGTAAGGAGACAAACTGACGACACCACATGCCTCAACACGGTGCACTGAAAAGGCTAGAACAGCACTTGTACAGTTTTCTGTCCCAAAATGCATTATCTCAATCTAATCATGAAGAAATTTCAGACAACCCAATTTGAGAGATATTCTACAAAATAACTGATCTGTCAAAAGCATTTAAGGTCGTAAAAGACACACTAAGAATCTGCCTCAGATTAAAGAATTAAAGACAGAGTGCACCTAAATGCCACTTGTGGTCCTGGACTGCTATAATGGACATTGTTGGGACAACTGGGAATACCGCAGTATGTTCTATGACAGTATCATATCTATGCTAAATGTTCTGATCTTGACAACAGAGCAGTGGTTATGTAGCTGAAGATCTTTGTTCTTAGGAAATACACAATGAAGTGTTTAAACCCTGAGTGGTGTCGTGGCTGCAACTTACCGTCAAAAGGTTAAACAGTAATATGTATACAGACAAATGTTAATAATCGTTGAATAATTTGGATGAAAAGTATATGGGAGGGGCGCCTGGGTGGCTCAGTCGGTTAAGCCGGGCCACTGCCTGTCATGATCTCGCTGTCCAGTGAGCCTGTTCCGCTAATAGGCTCTATGTTGACAGCTCAGAGCCTGGAGCCTGTTTCAGATTCTGTGTCTCCCTCTCTCTGACCCTCCCCCGTTCATGTTCTGTCTCTCTCTGTCTCAAAAATAAATAAACGTTAAAAATAAAAAAAATTAAAAAAATTTAAAAAAAAGTATATGGGAATTCTATGTATTATAACATTTCTCTAAGCTTTAAATTTTAAAATAAAAAAACTTAAAAAATTAAAGAAATGGGCACCTGAGTGGTTCAGTTGGTTATGTGACCAACTCTTGATTTCAGCTCAGGTCAAGCTCACGGTTCATGGGTTTGAGTCCCACGTCAGGCTCTGCACTGACAGTGTGGAGCCTGTTGGGATTCTCTCTCTCTCTCTCTCTCTCTCTC